CGTGTCCCTGTTGGGTCTGAGTTCTCGGGACATTGCTGGAGGACCCGGAGCCTGGTGCCCGGGATGCTTCCTTCCTCCCCAAAGCGTTTGGCCCAATGCCCCCACTTTGGGACGAAGATTCCAAATTCCTGACTCCCACCTAAGTCCTCGGACTCTTCCTGGCCACGCCTCAGTGTCCCCCTTCCCTGGTTGTGCCCTCAGCTGTGCCCAGCTGCGTTCCACATCAGCCAACCAGCTCCCTTAGGGACAGACGGGCTCAGCAAACCCTCTCCCCTCATAAGTCGACCACTGCGCCCTGAGTGCTTCTGACTGTCCCCAGCTACTCGGGGACTTTGCATCGAAGACCGCTGTGTGCCAGGGACCGTGACCCACCCTGCAGCCCACGCATGCCCAGAAGAGGCTGGAGCCCACCTCTGTGGACTGGCCCTCCCCAGGGAGACGCCCATCAGTCCCCTCAGACGGCTGCTGGCTCCTGTGGGTCCTGTGGCTCCTGTGGGGGATGTTTGTGGAGTTGTGCAAACACTAACGGGGCGTGACCACGCGGCCACCGTGTTCCCAGCATTCTTTGTGCATGACCTCATTCCCAGCCCGCCATGTCCTAGGAAGGACCTCCTGTCACCCTCCTCCCTTTTACACAGAGGTCTTGACAGGTGCCTGCAGGGACACTGGGAGGAGCTTCCCAACCCCACCACAGTCTGAGCCCCTGGCCCACACGTGCCTGTCACCACTGCCCCCTGGGCTACCTGCCATTATTCTTAGAATGCACCTTAATTGTCTTTCTGGTTACACATACATCCGGGAACGCTTGGATCCCCTTTAGACTCTTTTTTTTTTGGGGGGGGGGTAACAGGGGAGTGAACTCAGGAGCACTCAAATTGCTGAGGCTGGCCTCCACTTTGTGATCCTCCTGCCTCAGCCTCCCGAGCCTCTGGGAGGACAGGTGTGCAGCACTGTGCTCGGCTACAGGCTTTCCTCGTTCAGTGAGGAGACAGCAGGGCAGGTTTGTATTTTTCCTGTCCAGGGCTAAGGATGGAGCCCATCTCCCCAGTTAGGCCTTGGGAGACGCGACCCCTGGTTCTGTAGAGGAACCCTGGCACCCCGCGAGTTGCTGGGGACTCTCCCGAAGGACATGGCAGTGAATCCGCCCTGAGTGACGGCGTCTCAGGATCCTGAGTGATGACTTGCAGGTGCTCCTCTTCTCCCCGGGACAGCCTCCTCCTCCGCCCTGCACACAGCCGCCCCTCCTCCAGCTGCTCGGCGCACATCTGAAGGCGCAAGGCCTGATCTCCATTAATTAAATCTGCCATTAAAAATTAAATATCGTGAGGAGGAAGGTGCGAGTGTTATCTCTGTGGGTTTCAAAAGTCACAGTGTTTCTTCAATTACTTTGCAAGCGGTTTCCATATTTCAGACCGTCTGATTTCTCCAAGGGCCTGGATTTGCAAGATCAAAAGAGAGCACGAGGGTGAGGGCAGCACGGCGGGCAGCTGGGGGGGGATGGGAACTGGCGGAAGAGGAGACTGGCCTGCTGTCCTGGGCCAGGGCAGGAGCGGCGAGCCATGAGCGCAGGGCAGAGAGAGAAGCCTGAGCGTTGGGGTGTGTGGTGTGATGGCCGGTGCAAGGGCAAGCGCCCGTCCATGGGCCTGGAGGATGGTGACTGTGGGGCTCGAGCCCTGGAAGACACACACCTAAGCCAAGAGCTGGGTTCCTGGCTTACTGCGTCCCTACGTCTGCGTGAGGTGTTGTGGGGGATAGAGTCTAAGGGGGAGGCAGGCCCAGTGATGCACATCTGTCATCCCAGCCGCTCAGGAGGCTGAGGCAGGAGGATCATAAGGTGGAGGCCAGCCTCAGCAACTTAGTGAGGCCCTAAGCAACTCAGCGAGACCCTGTCTCTAAATAAGATATAAAGAGGGCTGGGGACAGGGCTCAAGGGTTGAGCGCCCCTGGGTTCCATCCCTGGTACCAAAAAAATTATAATAATACACCATTTGACCCAAGGACTCGGCTTCTAGAATGTTCCCTTAGATGTACTCACGTGTGCACCAAGTCCTAGGTGCCGGCAGGTTCCTCTGAGCACGGTTGTGGTGGTGGGGAACACAGGTGGCCTGGGACGTCTCTGCCACGCAGAGACACTGATTCGTTTGCGCATCTGTGTGGGTGTTTCTGGGGCTGGGGACGGACCCAGGGCCTCGTGCCCAGTGGCCAAGGACTCTGTGCGGAGGGTCCCCAGCCCAGAAAGGTTCATTCAGAGGGGAAGCAAGTGAGGATCCTGGGAAGTGAAAGAAGACTCAGGACACGTCACCTGCTGTGGTGTCAGGGACATCCGGGCCCTGGGCAGGCTGGCTGCGCAGCGTGCCCACCAGGGCCCAGGGGACTTGCTCGCGGGGCACTCAGAGGAAGAAGGGCAGCCTGCGCACCAGCTGACCAGGAGGCCCGCCCTCGCTCGGTGCCCTCTGCCCTCCTGTCCTTGTCCTTTAAGCCACAGGAGTTAATAACGTCTCAAAAACTCTGTAAAGAACAAGATCAGGCCCTGGCGCTGGGTCCAGCTGCCAAGAGGACCATCTGGCCCTGGTCCCCTTGTTACGGTGACACTGTGTTGTGTGCAGACCCCACGAGCCCAGGGAGCGGGCTGCTGTTGTGTTGGGGTCCCCTGGCCCCGAGAGGCTTCTCAGGATGAGCCCTGCTGGTGGCCAGGCCTGGTCGCCCCCTTCTAGTAGTGACCCATGGAGTGACCTGGCCCCCAAAGAGGGCGGGACACGTGGTCCCCTCCAGCAAGATCGGGTGGGGGGGCCTGTGGGTGAGGGCTGGTGAACAGAGGAAGCCAGCCCCATGCTCCCCAGTCGTGGGCGGGAGGACTTCCTGTACCCGGGGTGGCGGTCCCCAGGTCCCCACAGCGGGGCCGAGAGGAGGGGAGTTTCACTGAGTCATTCTGAGAAACAATAGAGGAAGTTGCTGTGGGGACATCGCGGCCACTTCTTGGCCTGTGGGTACTTCCGATGACAAATCTAGCTGACCACAGGTCACTCCGAGCTTGCAGTCTAACTCGGCTGCGGCCAGACTGTCCCTGGTGGCACAAAATCCAGAACAAGGCCTCCGGGCATCTCCTGCTAGCCAGGCCCCGTCTAGACCCCGGGTCTCCCTTCCAGAGGGACGTCAGCAGGTGCCCGGGCCTGACACCAAGGGGCCCCATGGATGTGACAAGCCACAGGAAGTGAGGGGTTTAGCCAAAGAGAAGGCTTGAGCGAGTCTGTGGGAAAGGACACAGGCAGGATCTGCAGAGGGACTTGGGATGAGCCACGTGTCAGTGTCAGAAAAGGCCGGGCCTCATCATAGAAGGCTGTGCTGGGCGGAGTGGGTGCTGAGCGCCAGCCCATCCCTGAGCCACCCTGGGAAGCAGACGACACCTGTCTTGCAGTTTAGCAAACAAGGCTCAGAGGAATTCAGGGGCTTATCCCAAGACCACAGGCAGCACGTCCTGAGTGAAGGTTAAAATGTGGGTCTGGGGGGGCCCACGCCTGTCATCCCAACAGCTCAGGAGGCTGAGGCAGGAGGATCGCAAGGTGGAGGCCAGCCTCAGCCACTTAGTGAGGCCCTAAGCAGCTTAGGGAGACCCTGTCTCTAAATAAAATATATAATGGGCTGGGGACAGGGCTCAGGGCTCGAGGGCCCCTGGGTTCAATCCCTGGTACCCAAAGATAATATATGTGGCTCCTCTCTGTCCTCACCTCTGCCGAGGACACCCAGGGTTGGCTGAGGCAAGATCAGTCTCTGGGTTTGAACCTGATTCCCAGAAGCCCTGGCTCGGGGCCCCTTGGAATCCCACAGACCTGCATCCAAGTGGCCTCCCTAGTCCCCACCCAGGGCCTGTCCTCAGGGGCCCCCCTCCCCATGGACCTCCCGGGCTGCAGTGGGACAGTCCCCAGAGCGTCTGGTTCCCGCCCAGACCCGCCCTCCTCGCCCAGGGAACCTGGGCAAGGCCCACCACCCACCTATGGCCCCCGGGTCCCTGCGTGGCTGCTACTGTGGCCCCTTGCCTCTCGCTGTCTGAGGATGGCTGTCCCTGGGCCCTCACAGGCCTCCTGCCCCTGACCGGAGGCCCAGGACTGCCAAGGGTCTGGCCTCAGCCTGACCCCGTGTGGCATGGCTGTGGCCTTCATCACCCGCCCTGGGGAGAGGTGGCCGCTGTGGCCACTCCCTGCCCTCCCCACAGGCCCGCCTGGCCTGGCCCGGCTGCAGGGCTGCATTCTGGAGCCTGCTTCCTGTGGGAGCCAGCGTCACGGCCTGGCCTCTGCTGCCCACGCGTCTGCTCCTTAAAGATAGTGAAGCTGGGGCTGGGGCTGGGGCTCAGTGGCAGAGCGCTTGCCTGGCGCACATGGGGCACTGAGTTCCATCCTCAGCACCATATAAATAAATGAAATAAAGGCATCGTGTCCATTTACGACTAAAACTTTTTTAAAAAGCCACAGTGAATATACCAGGCAGGGTGGCCCACATCCCAGTGGCTCAGGAGGCTGAGGCAGGAGGATGGCAAGGTGGAGGCCAGCCTCAGCCACTGAGCAAGGCCCTCAGCCACTCAGCGAGACCCTGTCTCTAAATAAGAAATAAAAAGGGCTGGGGACGGGGCTTGGGGACACATGAGAAGATAGTGAAGGTCCCAGGTTTGGGCGCCGCACGGCCTCTGCCAGACTCCTCGGCCTGCCTCGGGAGCAGCCGTCGAGGGCACACACAGACATGCACGTGGCCGGGTGCCAGGAGGGCTTTCTTTACCAGAGCAGGTGGCAGCAGGTTGGGCTCATGGGCCGAGGGGGGCCACCCTGACGAGAGGCTCCTGCAGCCTCTGTATTCTAGAATGTTCCAAGGCAGCGGTGAGCACTGGAGCCCGAGCTGTGGCCTAGTCACCCTTCAGCTTTGATGCTGTGACGCAGCGCCCTCTTGTCCCGGGTCGGCACGGGAGCCCGGGGACTGGAGTGTCACTGAGCAGGCCTGTCCTTGTCTTCCAGAACGCCGAGATGTACAAGCTGTCGTCGCAGCAGTTCCACGAGGCCGCGACCAAGGCGGAGAGCGCCATCAGGTGAGAGCTGCTTCTCTGGGACCCGGCCTGCGTCGTGCGTCCCTCGGGTGGCCTGACGCCTGGCGCCTCCGGCCTGGCCTCCCTTTTCTCTGATCACAGGCAGCCATCTGTCCCGCACTGTCCCCTGGACCCCCGCAGCCATTGGTCATCAGTCGTTGGCCACATCTGCTGTCAGTCCTTCCCGCTCTTGGCAGGTGACGGTGGGGGGACGCAGACCCGACCCCTGTCTGACAGCTGGCGCCGTTGGTGTGGGCTCGCGGGGCACAGAGCGGCGAGAGGCCAGGGGCTCAGGCAGGGACGCTGCCAGGCTCTCCTGCCCCTCCGCCGGTGGAGGAAGCCCTGGGATTTTTCTCATGTCCCCAAAGTCAACTCCTTCACTCCTGATTCCCGTAAGGCACCTCTGGCTTGGTGACACGCAGGACGGGCCACACTGAACTCCCAGGGAGCTGAGGCTGCTGCCAGCGCCTCTCCCTCCCCAGGGTGAGCAAACTTGTGACAATGACGCAGAGTCGGGCACCGTGCGCACGCCTGACGTCTCTGCAGCTGGGGAGGCTGAGGCAGGAGGATCGCAAGGTGGAGGCCAGCCTCGGCAAAGGCAAGGTCCTAAGCCACTCAGCGAGACCCTGTCTCTCAATAAAATCTAAAAAGGGCTGGGGACGGGGCTCAGAGATCGGGGTCCCTGGGTTCCATCCCTGCGGAGAGCCCTGAGGGGAGCCAGGAGGAAGGACTGTGAGGACCGTGACGTCACCAGACAGACCCCAGGGTACAGGAGAGGACAGGAAAGAGCCCCAGGACTTGTTCCTGAGCAGGAGACACTTGAAGCGAGGTGGCATGAGGACAGGTTTGGGGACAGGGAACAGTTGTCCGGGATTCTGTGTCCCAGCCAGGACCAGGCCGAGGCCCGGCTCAGCAGGGCACGGGGACGAGGAGAGGGGCTTGGAGAACGCGGGACCCAGGGACGGAGGGCCGGGCCGGCTGTGTGCCACCCTCCTGCGGGCACCACTGTCGGGGGCAGCGGGCCTGTTGGGAAGGGTCCCTCCTCCATGTCAGGCTGGGCCTGGGTACAGATGGGGGAGGGGCAGCCACATCAAAGGGGACATGGGGCCCAAAGTGGCCGCCAGGCAGCCTGGAGCAGAGCAGGCGCCGCTGGGGAATCGCCCTGTGTCATCACAGGCAGTCCCCTCCTCCCCTCTGCAGGCAGGGTGGGGACAAGGTGCTGTCACCCAGAGGGAAGCTGAGGGGCCATTTACTGAGCCCCGTGAGGCCCCTGTTCTGGCCGGTCACCTGCTGGTGGTCACCTGCTCCATGAAGAGTTGAGGCTGCGGCTGGAGAGGCCGGACACCCGCCTCACTTGGTCACTGTCACAGAGGTGCTGTAGCCTAGGTCTTCATGTCCCCAAGGGCCCACATGTCGAAGGATGGCTTCCAGCCCCAGGCAGTGCTGGCAGGTGGTGGGACCTCTGGGAGTTAGGATCCAGCAGGAGGAAGTCAAGTCACTGGGGACGGGCCTTCCAAGGGCACCCTGTCCCCACCCTGTCCCCACCCTGATTCTCTGCTTTCCCTCGGCCATGAAGGAACTGAGCCTCTGTCACAAGCCCCTCCGTGACAGGCTGGGCTGCCTCAGGGCCCAATAACAGACCCGTCGGCCATGGACTAAAACCTCTGAAACCGCGAACCAAAGAAACCTTTCTTCTTTTTAAGTAGATTTCCTCGGGCACTTTGTCACAGTGACAGAAAGCTGACACAGCTGGTGCTGTACTGGAGCTGGGGTCCCATTTTGCTCCGACCGCTCCAGAGCCATGTTCTTCCTGTGTCTATGTCAGCTCTGCCCCCTGAAGGCCCTTTCTACAGCAGGGGACACTGGGAGCCGCCTGGAGTCACACAGACCTGGCTCGGACTCAGCCCTCCACTCACAGGGTCTATGATCCTGGGTGAGTCACTCCACTTCTGCGGGCCACCGCTTCCTCCCCTAACAACGGACAGGACATCCTCAGCCGGTGGTGACCGCTGACTGTGGACCCCAAGAACCTGATCCCCAGGGTGACAGTATCAGGAATGGGGCTTTGGCCACGTGAGGAGGTTTTGAGGTGGAGCCCTCGCAATGGGATTTGTGTCCTTATAAGGGGACCCAGAGAGCTCCCTGTGTCCCTCCATCCTGTGGAGACAGAGGGAAGGTGCCACCCGTGCCCAGGGAGCAGGCCCATACCCTGCCTCTCTCTGCCAGCGACTTGCTCTCGGCTTCGGAACTGAGAAGCAGGTGCCCCCCGGGCATGCGCCACCTCATCAGCCCCAGAGGCTCCCACACCGTCACCCATGGTGGCTGTCCTCCGAATGGCTTTCTCAGGACTCACCTGGTGTGAACAGATTGGATACATAAGTCGAGTTTCCAGAATACTCTGCCTTTTCCCAAAGAGCCATCAGGGAGCAGCGCACAGTCAGACACTGTTTCCCTTAAATATCCAGGGGAGTCTCTGGGCGGGTTCTTGGATCAGCAGATGATTGTAAATGTCACAGAAAGAAACGCCAACTACTGGCAGCGGTGACACAGGCAGCTCTCTTCCAAGACAGTGGAGCATCTTTTAGCAGCTTTGAGTCAACCGAGCGGTTACTCCGCTGGTAAACTGTGTGTCCGTGTTTTCATTCATCAACTCACACACACACACACATAGAGCGCCTGCTGTTTGCCACACACCATGCTAGGCCCTGGGGACACGATAATGAATACGACTCCTCCGGTCCCCACCAGCAGAAGCGCAGAGCACTCGGGGAACAGTGTTTGGAAATGAATTGCACAACAAGCCATTTCCTGAACCACTATTGATTATCGTCATGAGCCCTGGGAAGGAAAAAAGTGTGAGTTAAACAGTCGACGTCAATCCCCATGTCATGTGTGACCACAGAGAACCAATAAAAAGGCACATACCACTCCAGGCACACGCCTGTCATCCCAGGGACTCGGGAGAATGAGGCAGAGGAGCCCAGGTTCAAAGCCAGCCTAAGCGACTTCGCAAGACCTTGTCTCAAAATAAAGCAAAATACAGTTTAAAAAGGTGGTGAACATCGCTCAGAGGTAGAGCACGGGTTCAGTGTGCCCTGAGTTCAAAAAGAAAAAAAGAGACCCCTCAGAGGAACCCGAACTCTGGACAGAGTAACACCTGCAATTCAGAAGTTGGCCAGAAGAGAGGAGGAAACGTATTTAGTAAGTTTCAGGCTGTGCAAAGGCCCTGGGGCAGGTGATTCACGTTATCCAAAGAAGTGAAAGGACATGGCCTCGGGCCCACAGGACAGTTTTGAAATGATATCTTGGTCATCATCAACTCAGAAATGTTCTGATTTTCATTCTGATTTCTTGGCAATGTTCTAGTACCCTTTTGGGTGACTGATCTCCAGTTGCACCTGCTGTGATTAGAGAAAATGCTGTCGATTCCTGGGAACTTTCTAGAACCCGGCTTTGTCCTGCCTTGGCCCACCTGCTCTGTGATCTGTCACCAGGTGCAGCACTCTGTGTCCACCAGCAAAGCCACTCCGTCACATTTGCATTTCCTGTCTTTACTCATCTATCAGCTTCCTGTTCCCAAGATCGAATCCCACCCCACCAACGGCTTCTCTCAGGGTGGCTTTGCTGGAAATTCTGTTTTTAATCGTCTAGAAACATCTTTACTCCCCTTCATCATCGAAGGCTGGAGCAGTCATTTCTTTCAGGTGTTTAAAGATGTCACCAGCCTCATCCTGGGTTCCTGACCTTCTCTGGGGACACCAGCAATATAGATCCTCTCTCCTTCCCTTTTTGGGGTTCAAGCCTTGGAGTTTCGTCAGTTCTAGAAATTTCTCAGCCATTATCTCTTCAGATAATGCCTGCCCTGTGTTCTCTTTCCCTCTCTCTGGGATTCTAGTTTCATGTATTAGTGTCTCTCTCTCTCTCTCTCTCTCTCTCTCTCTCTCTCTCTCTCTCTCTCTCTCTCTCTCTCTCTCTTTCTTTTATAAAGATCCCCGTGCCATGGCCCACACTTGTATTGATCTTGCAGCCCCTGGTCCCCTCTTGATGGTAAAACGTTGCCTTAATCCTATTTATCGTGCTCCAAATTTCAGTTATTTGAAGGTCTTTCTTTTCTTTCCCCCCATTATAGACGTTCCATTGCTTTTCTTACATTTTCTGTTCCAAGTTTCCCAGTCTCTGGTGAAATCCTGCTTTTTGCTGTCCATTTTCCTGAGCGTTTTAATCTCAGTTATTTAAGTCATCTCGGGGTCCGTTTCTGGGCCCTTTCTGCCCCACTCGCCCTGTGCCCCATCTTCGTGTGCCTGGTGATTCCTGACGAATGCCAGGCACGGTACGGAGGAGGTACACAGGCCCTGGTGACATTCCCCTTCCCTGTTCTTGGTGGCTTCCTGGATAAAGGTAGGTCACTGTGCTCCCGTCAGGGACCCAGCTGACCGTGGCTTGCCCTAGGGTGTGACCTTCCACGACTTCTCTCTCTTGGTGAGCTCTAAACCACGATTTTCATTCCCGCAGCCCACTGAGCCTCTTGAAAGTTCCATTTGGCCTTCCCCTGGTCTTTTAGATGACTTCCTGGCCTCTTGCCTAGAGGAGATCCAGTGTTTAAAAAAGAGAAAACACAGCTCAGGAGGCTGAGACAGGAGGATGGCAAGTTGGAGGCCAGCCTCAGCAACTCAGCGAGACCCTGTCTCTAAATAAAATATAAAAAACGGCTGTAAGAATGACCACTCCCTTGCTAGGACTCCCTCGCTTCATGATCTTGGCCTTCAGGTCCTAGCACTTGGCCCTTAGATGCTATAAGTAGTTGTTTGGTTTTTTTTTTTTGGTATTTGGGGGGTACCAGGATTGAACTCAGGGACACTCAACCCCTGAGCCCCGTCCCCAGCCCTGTTTTGTATTTTATTGAGAGACAGGGTCTCCCTGAGTTGCTTAGGGCCTCACTTTGGCTGAGGCTGGCCTCCACCTTGCGATCCTCCTGCCTCAGCCTCCCGAGCCACTGGGGTGCC